TGTCCCTCCCTCCTTCCCTCCCCCTTCCCTGCGTCTCTTCGACCGTTACCAGGCTACCTGTAAGACGGAAACGCGCTGCTCCATGAGCTCCCGCCGGGTCAAGTGCCTGTCGGTCAGCACTTTTTCCAAATTCGACATTTCCCGCTCGATTTTTTGGATCTCCGCGTGAATGGAGGCGTTGACGTCCGATCTGATTCGGAGAGGGATAAGCACGGCAAATGAGCTAGGGTTGAACCGGGGCGGGAGAGAAGGAGGCGGGAAGTGGCACGAGAAACATCGCCGAGGGGGAAGGCTGGAAGGAAAGACGGCTGTCGGGGTGCCGAAGGTGTCAAGGGTGGAGCACGCACACCATGTGCCCGTTTCCCCCCTTCAATTGAAGCGAGGGTGAGCCGACTGAGGAGGACGGATCCTTACTGCCTCCGGCACACCTTTCTGCCCTTTCCGACACGATCATCGCGCCCCCCCCCTTTTTTTTGGGGGCCCTCCACCGATTCTTGTCGATTTCTCCGACCCTGCACCTTCTGCGCCATCGATTCCTCCCTCCCTCCCTCCCTCCCTCCCTCCTCACCGCAAGGATTGTAGGTCCCTCTCGATCACTTCCTTGTTGTGGCGTTGCGCCACGTCGAAACGCATGGTGCTGCCGAAGAGACGTTCGCTCAAGTCTGATTTCAGGTCCAACAGGTCCCGCCGCGTCGCGATCTTCCCGGGGGGGGAAAGGGAGGAATTAAGGTGGGTGCAATGTGCAATTTGTTGATGGCATTGGAAGGTGGGGGCCAGAGGGTCGGTCTCGGGACGAACGAGGAAATTTCCTGAGGCAAAGCCGCCTCACAGAGAGGCGCTCCAAGCAGTGCCAACAGTCTCACAAGGCACCGTCCTTCCTCCTTTCGTCCCCCTCTTCCTCCCCAGGCCCGAAGACCGTTTCGATGCCCCTCGAAAAGCTACCCGGAGGAAGCCCCTCGTCTCCCCTTCCCCCGTCCCCTCTTGCTCACCATCGCCGTGCTTCTCAACGTGCACTCCTCCATCCCCGCGACCAGCACTCTCAAGACGGTCTGGGCCTGCGCTTTGGAGAAGCCTGCTTCCTGCAAGGAGTCGCACATCTGGGTCGGGGAAGGACGCACGGAGGGAGGGAGGGAGGGAAGGAGGGAGGGAGGGAAGGAGGAAGGGAGGAAAAATAAGTGAAAAGGCCAGTCAGGCCAAGAGAGGGGTGCCAATGATCACTTCGTTGTAAAGAGTAGGCATCACGTCCCTGCATCGTACACCACTGTCTGTCATCTGAGGGCCCCTTTCCCGCCAGCTTGGGCCGTGAGGTGCTTCGTCTTATGACTCACTTTCATGGTGTCAAAGGATACCACCGCCTTCCCCGGTCCCAACAAAGAAGCATGAATTTGTGATGAAGGAGCGGATGGAGTGCCGGACAGGGTGGGGGAGGCGTTGAACGGAGTAGAGAACAAAGGCGGGGGGGAGGGGGAGGAGG